ACCTCCGAGACGAGAAACATCTCGGAGAAAAGCGAAAGAAAAAACTTCGGTAAAACAGTTTTTAGATCGGCAACAGGGTATAGATTACTTCGATAATGATGAAGAACAGGGTGATTCTGATTCCGATCCTGCTTGGACGCCTGCTGTAAAATTGGTTGGAGATGAAGAAGAAAAGAAGAAAAAACGCACGAGACCTGTTATAAGCAAAAAGAGCAGGAAAGTCTTAGATGAAGATGACTACCCTCTTGCTGATGTTTCGAAGAAGTCGAGCAGGAGGAAGCACGAAGCACATTCGAAAACTGGAAGTGTCGCGGGAAAGGTGTCTTGTAAGATAGATGAAAAACTTATAGCGTCAGTTAGCGATGAAGATATCGATATTTCACCATTTAAGGTATGTATTTTAGTATAGTAATTTCTATTGATACGTATATGTACATAAAAATGTATATTCATATGTTGCATGCAGCGCATTGTGGATATTTCAGAAGATGCGGTAAATTTTTCTTACGAATATATTAAAGTAATTTAATTAAATAATAATAATAAAAAAATAAATAATAAAAAATTAAAATTACATACCTTTTTCTTTAATAATTGTTCATTTCCAAAGGAATTTATTCTTAATATAATTTCAAGCTTGGACATTTTTTGCAGTCTGGAGAATTTGTTGTAATTAAGGCAGATTTAAACGAAGAATATCCTCCGCTGTGGAGAATAGATGGCAAAACGTTACTCCAAAAATATGAGCCATTTAAATCCAATGGGAAGACCTTATACAGAAACATATCCACGGTAAGAAATAGATCATTTTTCATCGAGTTTTCACATTCATACATGATTACTTTTATAGTATTCGGGTTGGGCACCGCAAAACCGCCACATATATCAACAAGTTCCGGTGAAGTTTTGGCAGCAAGGCAAGACAGAAACTGTGGTAGAATTTTTGAGAAATGAAATGATCGTTGATGATAGGTAGATTTTATTTTAAAATCATTTAATTAGGTATATTTAAGAAGATTCACGTTCCTTTTTCGGCATTTTAGCGAAAGTATCGATAAATCCATGAAGGAAACTGAAAAATATCAAGATAATTTTGAAGTATATATACAAACATTGATTTCTCAAGCTTTGGATTCTAATTTCCTTACGGAAATATTTCAAGAACAAGGTACGATTACCATTTACTTTTACGTAAACAAGGGATATAATATTTTTTACATAATTTTCACTAACAAAGTATCTTTCTTCCTTGTTCTACATAGATGATTATTTTCTATCAAACGTCAAAACTGTCGATGAAGTAACGGAAGAGAGAAAACGTCGTCTTCTGTCGACAACGAAATGGCGAACAAACGTTATAAATGCAATATCAACCTGGCCATGTCTCAATGTTCTCAAGGATTTACCATCCATAGAGTACAAAGGAAAATCGTGTGCTGGTTGCCAGCAGTCGAAAATTCATGCAAGGGTTTTATTATATGGTCAACCATATAATGCGACTACGTTGGAAGGTTCTCCGCCTGACCCAAGAATACCTCAAGAAAAGGTACTATTTTTATTACTATTATTTTACTGAGTATTTCTATGATCGAATTTACCATTTGATTTTTAGGATTTTTTATTATGCCGAGTATGTCAAGCAAAGGTAGCTCTGTTCAATAAAGTGGCTCATCAGAAATATTTGATGTTTTTGGAGTGTGCAAGAAGAGTAGCTGATAAAAGAGTAGCAGATCCTAATAAAGATACTACGATTATATTAAATGAATTATTAGCGGACGAACCGTGGTTAAACCAGGTAAGTAATACATACATTCTTTGAATTATCCATGCTGGTAAGCATTTACAATGAAAATAAATAATGGAAAATATAACATTTTTTTTTAGCTATTTAAAGAAGTTAGAGCGATCTGGGCAGAAATAGATAATTTGGAACAACAAGTAAAAGCAAAGTCGTGTTCAAAATCTACTTCATCCTCTTCAGTGTATAATGTGGGAGGAATGGCTGAAAATGTTTCACTAACGCAAAAAACTGAAATTACTGCTAAAATTTCCGATTCACAGGTGCCTACACAAAAAACTGAAGACAATTCCGAAACAGTGTCTTGCAATGTGCAAATGAGCAGTATACCATCTTAGTGGTGCTATGATAATCATTGGTTCTGTTTAACTCTAAATGCCACGAGATCGAGTTTAGTGATAAATCGATTTTATGGGTGTAAACTTAACACCAGTCTCGAGACCAAACAATTAAATATTGTATTTTGAGGATGGTAAATATTTAATTCAAGTTAATACTACACGCTGTGACGAATGGTGAAATTAAATATTAATGTGTAATCAAGAAACTATGGTTATAGTTACAGTGATAGTGATAAGGAATAGTATACAGCGGGGTAAGTAAGAAAAAAGATCGCGCATAAACGCTATATGTAAAATACATAACAGACATATGTAAAATATTCATCCCCGCATAAGAATTAGACATGAGCCCAAACTTTGCCATTGTAATAGCATAATAATAGAGATATACGGATATTTGTGTGAATATAGACATTTAGTTTTAGCATTTGTATCGTGATAATCTTATGTAATATCAAGGTCTGAAGTGTTAAGATCTGACAAAAAATACGAAAGACAAATGATTTTAGGGTAAAACATACAAAGTGATATGGTGTATAGAACGCCGTGACCTTCTGTAACATATTTAGATACATCACTCTTTGCAACCACGAAGGTCTATCCTCTGTAAAAAGCAAAAAACTGTTATACTGTTCGTTCCTCTAATTGTAATTTTTGAATTATTGTGCATTTTTTTACGAAATAACTTACCTTTAACGTTTTTTTAATGATTTAACCAATGTAAACGGTATTTATCTTCATGTTACTTTGTATATAAGCAAGTCATACAACCATGAAATTGATGCGTATAAAATACGTTCAAGATATCCAGTGATGAATTTAAGATTTTATTCTTTTAACGAAATGATTTATAGTAAATGCAATATTTTGAAAATATGCATTCTTTTATTGTTAAAAAAAAAAAAACACTTTAGACATCTTGTAGAACATTTGTACATAAAGGTACTTTTAATAAGATTAGGAATATTTCCTTCTGTACAACCTTTCGTTCGTGACTCAACATATAATTTTAACTACATGCATTATTTCTTCCATTGCAGTACCTTTTCAATTCAAACTGTTAACTAATTTTTGAATTCTTCCATCTTAAAATAATTCTTAACATGCAAATCCTGCATTCGCATTTTACAAAATATAAATAACGTATTAACGTAATTTTAAATCATTTATTTTAAACAAAAAATTATGAAGTATGAGTGGATGTCGCATTAAGAAATGTATTTTCATACAAATACTGATAACTTCGTTGATTCTGATATTTTTAATTTTATCGTCCAAACTTATAATTTTAACTATTTGTTGGACTATTTGAACACACATCAGAACCTAAAGGTTGTTTATTATATTTTAATACATTTTCATTCTACTCGGTAATCGCAATATTGAAATGATGTAAGTTTAAAAAGAATTTTATCTCGCTACGAACATTTTTACGAATGCTTTCTTTTCAGTAGGTAATAAATACCTAATGATAGAATAATTTTCACTAACAATCATTGTACATTATATACTATACTTCAAATCATATTAATATTATTATATTAAAATAATTATTATCATCTTCATTACGATTATTATTATCATTGTTTAAGTCGTAAATCGTTTAAGTTTTTGATCTGTTTTTAGATTTGTTAAGAAAAAAAGATATTCTCTAAAGACGAGAGTGGTGATATGCGTGTGTGGCGCGAATGTATTTTTCGAAGACGATATATCAAATTATATTTGTAAATTGTAAAAATATAATAATAAGGACAGGTGACTGCTACAACAAAGCCATAGGGCTTTAGACATCTTTCATAGCCTATAATGAATTGAAATTATTGTATTAGTGATTATTGTCGGATTTACCCGAATTGTATAATAAATTATTGGAGGAAACTATTAACTTGAAACCTAAAAATGCGGGCATTTGGATACTGACGCAGTAACAATAAAGGAAAGTATGCAGTTACAAAAGATTTTTTTTAGTATATGTGCCATGCAATATTTCATATCGATAAAGAGTTGGTGCTTTTATACATATATCAATTCATCTTCCGAATCTTTTAATTAAATTGTGATCTTCGATTCCATTTTAATCGGAAGTCCGTTATCACTTTATCAGTCATTTGTTTTAATTTGAAATAGTAAATGCGTCGAAAAGTTACGAGTTGAAGTATTATATATAGCACTAGCTTACAATAAAATCGTTAATATCATAATTCTAGAAATTAATATTATTGTTATATTGTATTTACTTTGAAAACAGAAAAGCGTACATTTATTTGTTTAATCATAAACTCCTTATTGCTTTCTTGAACATAATAGAGATTGAGTATAAAGTTTTTTACCCGCACGAAGAAGTTACAGTATTTTTATGATTACGATTTAAAAAAAAAAGATACGATAGAAATATACATATTATAGTCGAATATTACTCGTAATTTATGTTTTTATGAATCTTTTTCAATAAAATTGAAAATTTTATGAAACTCCTTTAATATTACTGTTTTATCTGTTTCGATGTTATTTTAACATGTATAGGAATTATAAGTCCTTCGTAAATATGACAAAGTGTGCGTTAGCTTAAGATGTAACAAGGAAACAAAATTGCTTCATTTCTAACAAAAGAAAGACTGAAAAATAGAGTTTGAATTCTTGGAATTTGTATGATACGATAATATGAGTTTTTTTTATTTTTTAATACAGATACGATGTTAATAACGTAAAGATTTGTGATTGTCTCGATTTGTAATTTGTATATGAAGAAAAAATGTTCTGAATGTACATTGTTACGGCACTGATGTAGAGGTTAGGCACAACACCGTAATGAGCATGCGCTTTAACCGCGATCACCTCCCTGCTCCCTGTACCCCGCGGCACCGTTCTATTCTGATTTCCAGTTCGCGTTTGTTGCCCGTGAAGGATGCCTTCTGCCAACCCTAAACTAGAGAAACAGGCCTCTACGGAGACCGTAGATCCCATACGCCAAGCGATCATCGTTGTCGAACATAAGATACGGAATCTCGAAAAGCGTAAGGTGAGTATTCGAATGATACGTACGCAAATAAGGCTGAGAAAACTATCTGTCAGTTGGATGGCTTTCACGGTGTGATCCGCCATGATTGGATACGCCATGTGCTCACGCTTGAGAATTCGTACGTATCTAATGATTATACTAAAATCAACTAACCCTCATCGTGATACTTTCTTATTGGATTCCTTTTACCGAAATTGATTTATAGCGACGTTACAATTCTTCGAACGTTCAAATGCCGAAATTTCCTATTGTGAACCTCGTGTCATGGCGGTATCTTCCAAAGATGTGCACAAAACTTTACGTGACACGCTTTCGAGCCGTTACCGGCAAATGAAATTGTGTAATAGTACGTCTTGCTTTTTAGGACGTTAACGATCTAATTAAAAAGTACGCACATTCGAGTACTATTATCATTCATTGGTAGATAGTTCTTCGTCTGGCCTCTATTTAGAATTTCCGTGAGCACTGTTTTCGAAAATCCGTTAAAAGATCGTGTAGTGTATTACTTTCTCGTAGAAATCATTAAATACCCATTCATGTACATAAAGTTTATTGAAAATGTGGTAATAAAGCCACCTCTTCTGTAATTTTAATATTTTATTTCGCAGTACATAAATGGATGAAAGTACATGTACATTTATATGAATTATATACATTTGTATTATATCTTTTAATGTACAGGAAATGCATTTGTAATATTAATGATGTATGTTATATTTAGGTGAAATTAGAGTCCTACAGGGATCTGCAGAAAAATGGTAGGGAACTAAATGCAGATCAAAAAACAGCGGTGGCTAAGTATGACGAAGTTTTACAAACATTGGACATTACACGGGAATTATACAAACAAATTGTTGGGATTGCACACGATGCGGTCAAGCAACAGAAAAAATTGGCGAGAAAGGAAGCTATTGAGAGAATGCAACAGGATATTGCAAAAGTAAATTTAAGAGTCTATTCTTATAATCTGGACATAATATAGGATGTATCTCTGATATATTGTGCATGCATGTTGTTGATATAGGTGAGGGAGGTTCTTCTTATTCAGGATGCTCTCATGAATATGGGATCAGAGTGTGTTAGAGAAGATTTCCTTGCTGGAAAAAATGGTGCTGTGAAATTATCAGAAGAGGAATTAAAGTACTTGGATAGTCTATATAATGAAGTTATGATGAAGCATAATCGAGATGAAGGAGAACCAACATTTCTCCAGCAAGTACAAAAAATAGCAGAACATTATGTGGCCATTATCGAAGGAAAACAGAGAGAAGTTGTTGGTACAACTTACAATAAATTAAAAGAAATTATCTCTTCCATTAACCAGTGTGGCTACTTTGATCAAGTTCATGAAACTGAAGCTGCAACAGAGGAAGTAAGTTGCAATATTGTATATTTAAATACGGAAAAAAAACAAAATATTATACAAAAAATTTATTATATTTTTCTTATCAGGTTACAGAAGTAGTCACAGAGACACAAGTATCCGCAACTCCTATACAAGAACAAGTCAATGAAGAATACAATAGTAGCGACAGACACATTCCACCCGAGTCTATGATTCCTATTCCTAATTTTCCAGTACAAGTTACTCCTATTCCTGTTGTTTCTGGCACTACTGCGGTTTCGGGTCCTATTCCCGTAGTGGCGCAACCCATTCCACCGCATCCAGCTGCACCAGTCGAAACATCTTACTACACAAACGCTACAGGATTCGTTCCTCAACCACAGCCACAACAAACACAGCAATCTCAAACTCAGCCACAGCCACCACAGGCTCCTAGAATTAACGATGTTATAGGTACACCGAATTTCTTTTTTCTGCAAGAATCTGAGCTCGATTCACCCGATGTCGCATCACAGGCACCCATTGTTTCACACATTCCTGCTGCTGTAAATGCACCTATTCCCTCGCAAACATTTACAAATCAAAACTTTGCAAATGCACCAGTAGTAGCACAACAGGTGATATATCAACATCAACCACCACAGGATATGTCCCACATTCCCGGATTCGCTAATCCTAATCCACCTCCGCCTATTCCAATGCCACCCTCTCATCAACAACCAAATATACAATATAGTCCACAGCATCCTGCAAACTTTCAACAGCAACCACAACAAACTCCTTCGCCACAGACGCAGAATTTTGAACATCAACAAGAGAATCAGCAGCAACCTGCAGAGGTAAATTTAATTAAATCGGTATATATATATTATTCCTGTATGTATTATAATGACTAATGTTGAAATGTTCTTTAGGAAAAAGCTGAAGAAATTCAAGAAGAAACGGCGCCACCTGAACCAGAATTGGAACAACCAAATGAAACTGTGGATTGGTGTAAGATGACCGAATCCAACGACTGGAATCAACCGGAACCATCGCAGCCATCTACTCAAGATTCACAACCGACTCAACAGGCTTGGGGCGATCAACAACGTAGTGGATACAGGGGTAGAGGTGGGAGAAGAAGCGGTTCCAATGGATACAATGGAAGGGGTAGGGGCGGTGGTTATCAACAAAATGGACGTGGCGGGCAAGGTGAAAAATATAAAAACATATATTACTAATCTTTTCAAGATTCCATATATTATATAGTTGAATTAAATAATTTTTTTTTTCAGGGACATATTATCGTAATGACAGTAATTATCAAAATGGCTATCAACAACGTTCTTGGGGAAATAACGACGGAAACAGTGGTTACAACTCCGGCTATAAGAGGGGTGGTGGTTTACTGAGAGGCGGAGGCCCCCGAGGTGGCCGAGGACAGTTTCGTGGCCAAAGGGGAGGAAACCGCGGGAGTTATGCAACTCGTGGTAAACCTCACACGCAACAGTAATAAAGATGCGATAGAGCAATGCACAATGAAACATTATAATAATGCTGTAAGATCATAATTCAATGGTCTATTTATGAAAGAACCTAAGTCGTATTTTCAGCACGAGTAAAGCTTGAGCAAAGTAAATATTGCTCGTAAGTCGTATACGTGTTTTAATATATAAGTAGCAACTTTAACGTTTAAGATTGTTAACCGATAGTTTTGTCAAATATACGAAAGAACGTAAACGACTATTAATTGTGTCTTTATGTGCGTTACATTGAACAAAGAAAAAATGAAAATGGTGATATTGCGTGATTTTTCACCTAAAAACGTTGCATTTAATCGTTCCGATGCGAAAGATGAGAACAAATTAATACGAAAAGAAAGACACATTTGCTATACTTTCCTGCGGCTTAGGATATTTCTTAAATAAGGCATTGAATAATCGAAATTTTGCATTTGAATTTGGTATCTGCGATTGTCAGGGAAAAGATCCTATTAATATTAACGAAATGATTATGCATTGTGATACAAGAAGAGATCAACCAAATTCAGAAGTGTGAACCCACCATGCAAGTATTATTGTGTTGTGACAGAAGGCAGTTTTCACAGGGCAACAACAGCTGATCAACAAAGATTAGAAATATAATTTTATTATAAAAAAAATACAAAAAAAAATGAGAACCCACAACAAAGCATTTCACACAAAGACACAAGGATGTATTTAAAGAATAACATTAAAACGATTACACGAATAGATGATCTGCACGACCATCTCTTTGTCTTGCGGCGTATCGTTCTAGAGAATTTTTTAAGATGTCAGAAAAAAGAGGATACAGTGAGCAATGCCTTCTAACGCTATATATCTTCTTAACTTCATATTCCATCTTTGGTCTATGAATTTGCGAAGCGTTTAGGGAGTTAAAAAGTTATCGAGATTTAGTAGTCAAAAGGAACGAAAAGTTTGTGTATTACGCAAAAATCTCTAAAAGCGTTATTTATGAAAAAAACGTTTTGTTTGCTATGAATTGTCGCTCCCTCTTCTGTTTTTCTGTGTGATTTCAAAATTCTTCACGGTCGCTCACGCAGTTGGTCAAGTAAAAGAGATTGCAGTGCAATGTCAAGTTTATGAAGCAACATTACCTGATTTTTTTTATCGCAAAATATATATGATTATTTTTAAAAGAAAAGAAGCGATAGTGCGGAGCTTTAGCATGTAAGTTGAGTGTACAATTTCTGACTAGAGCCAGACAAGGCGTGTTTGAATACTACGCCACTGACAAAAAAAGCCACGCTCACCGCCAAACACGTGATAAAGGAGTACCGTATTGTATTTCGTTTGTACATTTGTGTTTAATCACCTCCATCTACAGTTATGTTCGAATATCCTATCAATACCTATGTATCTTCCAAATAAAGATCTAATTCAAACCCTGCTAACTAGCCTATCTATTGTACTCACTGTTCATTTGAGAAGCAACGATTCACTCTTCAGCTTGTTCTCAAATAAAAGAAGATTGAATAAAGTGCTTGATTAATCGTATTTAGATGCTAGTGCCTACTTTTCGCTTTGTATTTTTATAAAATTAAATATATTATTTGATTATGGTCAAATATATTTCAATTAAGGATGTAGGTAAATAAATTATTTAATCCTTTCAATGCAGAACGTAACAAATGATTTCTATCAATAAGTTCATTGTTTTGGTTCTTTTGTAAGCAACATTCTACTTTGTAACATGAGTTAAATTGATGTTTAAATTGGATGTTGCATCGACGCATTAGAAACTTTAAGAAAGTTAGAAAGCTTTCACTTTGTAAAGAATGCTTTAAAAGAATCATTTGACGTTCGTAACATTGGTTATGGACGTTGGTGTTTTCGCAGATCGTGAAATCAGTTCATCAGTTGACTACCGTAGTCAAATACTGTTTTGAATTATATGAAAACAATTTTAAAACTGTTTAAAACTCAATGGTGCTTCTAATAAAGACACGGTTAACATCAAAGATTATATTGTAATATTTCAAAGAAAACAGTATATACATACAATTTACTGTTCGTATAACAGTCACTCATATCCTCGTAAAAGTAATTATAATAAATTCACAGTAACGATCATTGTAATGAGATAAAGGTAATTAAACAGTTTATATTTTCTTTAAATTTAGATTCATTTACATAAAATCAATTATACTTATATTGTATATATTATCAATGCAATTCCAAAATATACAATAATTCGTGAACTTGCAACACTAATAATTATTATTAGGTTAAGAATATTATATGTATTAAATATGTACATATATTCTGTCTTCAATCTAGGAAAGCATTTCATTGTAAGTTTATTCAACTTATTTGTTATATCAGGACAATGATTGAAACCGCTTGTGATCCTACAATTGAAAGGCATTTTAAAGGCCACGATAATGTTATCACAAGTTTATGCTTTCATCCTGAGACTACTCAGCTTATATCAAGTAGTTTGGATAAGACTATAATATTATGGAATCTTAAGGAGTCTGTAAGGGCTTATAGATTTCTAGGACATAAAGATGCTATTAATGATGTTACCTATGCACCATCAGGGGAAGTTATAGCTAGTGTTTCTAGAGATAGATCTGTCAGAATTTGGGTCCCTAAAGTAACAGGTCAATGTCTAGAATTCAAAGCACATTCAGGGGCTATTAGATCGATAGATTTTAGTCCAGATGGAGAAAAGGTATTAGTATTTAATTTAACATTTGTAAATTATTTAAATTAACGAATACACCAATATACAGATACTTACTGCATCAGACGATAAAAGCATTAAATTATGGATGGTATGTGAAAGAAAATTTTTAATGTCTTTTATAAGCCATACAAGTTGGGTGAGGTGTGCTAGATTTTCTTTGGATGGTAGGTTTATAGTCTCTTGTAGCGATGACAAAACAATAAAATTGTGGGATGTTAATAGTGGACAATGTGTCAGAACTTTTAATGATGTAAAAGGTATAAAGTATGCTTTCATTTACAATTTTATTTTTATTTTCACAAAAGTAACTCGCTAGAATCTGTCACGCGACATAAATACTTTTGTTAGCTTATAACACATACGTGGAATTTCACCCAAGTGGCTCTGTTATCGGATCTGCAAATATGGCTGGTAGTATAAAATTATACGACCTACGTTCTTCTTCTTTGTATCAACATTATGCAACTCATAAAGGTCCTGTTAACATGGTAAAATTTCATCCTAAAGGAAATTTTATGTTAACTGCATCTACTGATTCTACAATGAAGGTAGATATATGGTTGTTATATGTTATATATTTGTCTATATCGAATGTCTTTGAAATTGTGAAATAGGTTTTAGATTTATTAGAGGGTCGTCCAATTTATACGCTTAAGGGACACGCAAATGGTACAAGTGTAACGTCGATAACATTCTCTTCCAATGGAGAGTTTTTTGCTTCTGGCGGAGCAGATCGTCAATTATTAATGTGGAAAACTAATTTTGATAAAGATGATATCGCTCGCAAAATTCCCAGACAATTAGTTTTATCCACTAAAAAAGCTACATCTACCATTAAAGATGAAGAATTACATAAAATTGGTGATATATTCCTAGAAGAGGACGAAGAGGACGTAATTATTATACGATTTTATATATTAATGTTGAACTTTTACACGATTTATTTTAGATATAACTTACAAGCTTTTATTATTTTAGTTGATACATACAAAACTTGATAATATAAATTTACAAAACAATAGAAGTCATTGCAAAGTACCTGAGCTTACAGGTTTGAAAGATAGTATAGAACAGAAAATAATTAATGTAAAAATTCAGAGGCCTAGCGAGAAAAGTTGTGCTACGAATATATCGTATTTATCCAAAGACTCGCCCGATCAACAATTTTCTGTGCATTCAAGTAATGTAGTGGATGCGCTTAACGAACAAGTACAATCATTACGCGATGTTGTCACTGTTTTAGAACAGCGCTTAACAGTATTAGAAGAAGAATTGAGGAAATAAGTAAAATACATTTTACTTATAAAATTGAATGATTATTTTATTTTTGTAATTATGAAATATTTTAAGATGTGACAGAGAGAAAACAAGTTCTTTAATATTTAAGTCATAAAATTTGTATACACAAAGCAGTATTTATTTCAATGATCTTGTTTAATTGGATCTATACTACATCTATTTTTTTACACCTACAAATTGGCATGGTTTCCCAGTTTTCTTAATGACTTGTAATAGCTCCTCGGAAGGAAGCATGGATGTTACAAATACCTTCTTTCTTTCTAAATCAATTTGTACACCAGTAACACCTACGAATTAATTTAAGTAGGATTAAAACATGTACTTATAAGGACCAATATTTTTTAGATACTTTAAATATTTTCAAATATTTTAAATAACTATATATATAAATATATATATATATAATACTATTTAATTGAAATTAAAATATACAATTCTCTTTTGAACTGAAATAAAACGTAAATTTAATTATTAAACTAATGTTGTAAAAATATCATGTCTATATAACAAACAATAATCAGTACCTTCGTTTTTATTAAGTACATTTGTTACAGCATTGGAACATCCCTCACATGTCATTTCTACATTGAATTCGTACACCTTAAATTTATATTATTTAGTAAACATTTTAATTTTACACCATACTCAAAGTTTCATTACCTGAGATGCCATACTGATAACCGTATGTATTCGACGATTTGACGTGGCACTTTGCAACTGTGTATTGTATGACAAGTCTGGAAGAATACTTGCAATTGAACCAGATATAACTCTTATCTAATTTTTTAAAACGATAATACACATTTATTGTTCAACGAGTAATTTTAGATTTAATCGTTTTTGGTCACATATTTACAAAAATGGCTGATATTGTTTTTTCTTAAACATGAACCATGTCTATGAATGGTCGATGTTATAATTAATAGAAGCATTAATCTTTTGCAGTCAAGTAAAAAATGTACATGTGCATGTACATGTACTGTCGCAAAAATGTAATATATTATTATTCAGTACATGCACTACACTTTGCAATTACAGATAGAGAGGTTAAAGGACGGATGTCGTCGTTCATATTGAAATCAAACATTTCCCTAGATATATAAGCTGCTTGTCGATTCGGTTATCAATTCGTAGGCGCAGATGTGCCCCTTTCATGCAGCAACCAATGCTAGCCGGTTGTCGGTACGGTTGCCATCTCGTAGGTACAAGGATGCCCCTAGTATGCGGCAACCCATTGTGGGCTTTTTGTCATCTCGAAGTTGCCGCGTACTCGATTGCACTAGGAGAATAAAATAATACTTGAAAAACTAATTGCAACTGTAATTGTATCAATTACAATTGTCTTTTATTTAAAATCATAATCAAATAATAATTTTGAAATTTATTATAGAAAATATATCGTTATTAATACTTTCTGTATTTCAGTTTTGTTTTGACTACTACAGTTGAGAAAGAACCACTTTAATTATATCCTGTAATGTCTATATTGTTAGCACATTTATATGTATCTTAATTTTGCACGTTCAGTCGTATAGGTTTATAATATTACGAATAATTCTTATACACTAATTTCTATTAATACTTTGGTCACTCAATATATCATGAAATATAGAACCTTAGTGTAGAATAATATAGAATTGTACTTACTGTTTTACTTTTATTTACATTTAGTATTATAGTCAAATTATACTTGTAACAAATCAATCTATTTTTATAAGGGTGTATAACAAGATTAATATTATTTGTAATATCGGGACTAGTTTGATACACTTGAAACTTTCCTTAGAATAAAGTTTAACAGGATTATCGTGTTTATCAACATTGATTTCTAATCATATGTTTTGCAGTTTAGAGGAAAAATGAGAGAATCACACTTGAAAAATTATTTCCTGCAATAAATTTACATATACGAGAAGACTGAGTCGCATGTACATTTACATACATGTTTTTTTTACATTTATCATTGTGTGTAAGTACATACGCTTAAGTGAATTAATTATCATAAGGGATTATTCTTTGTAGTCTTAAAATATTTTTCGAATCGCTTGAAAAAAGACAAATGGCTATGATTTATGAAAACAGGAGCTGGTATATCTGAACATGCATAAAGGAACACCTGTAAAAATTATGTTTCAAATCCTACATATACATTCTGAAATAATTTGTGCATATCACTTTAAAGATTAAATCCATCGAACTATCACATACGAAAACTTACATTGTATTTGCAAAATTTGATAAAAACATTTTAATGAATACATTTCTTGGAAATGTTTCTTGCAAGATTGGAAAAATTGGAAGCAGTCAATTTGAGAAAATATATTATTTATGTAAGTGGAGTAATACACTTTTGAGTAGCCCTTTAGGATAATAGTAATAAGCCCAGCTTAAAGGCTCTG